TACCGGAACAGAAAAATATATGTTGAAGACACTTCCTGTCAAACACTAACATTGTTCCTTCATGGAAAGTGGAAACTTTCCAACTTTTCTGAGCCATCATAGCCTTCTATCAACACTATAAATACCCATTCATCACTTCCAAGCATGCAAACAAGTTCCCACAATTAGCTCAACCAAACTAATCTCTTCTTCTCTTCTCAAACCGCTTCTTTTTGCTCAAAAAATGGCTGCCATGTCTAAGATTGCTACAGGCAATGGCCATGGTGAAAACTCTCCTTATTTCGAAGGCTGGAAGGCGTACGAAACCAATCCTTTTCATCCCGTAGACAGACCTGACGGAGTTATCCAGATGGGTCTAGCTGAGAATCAGGTAAATAGTTTCAGTAATAAAACACAAACATCATGGGATTTTTTTGTGCTCGGTTCTTGTTTTGGAACCTATTTTAAACTGACGGTTTCATGGACCAGCTCTGCCTTGATATCGTCAAAAAGTGGCTGGTCAAGCACCCGGAAGCATCGTTCTGCACTGCACAAGGTGTGAGCAAATTCAAGGAGACTGCACTTTTCCAGGATTATCATGGGATGCCTGAGTTCAGAGGGGTAGGCTAATCATACCATCAGGACCTGAATATTGATTATTGATTGATCATGCTGATTTAATGGAACTTGTCTGCATTTTTTTACGCCACAGGCTGTTGCAAAATTCATGGGGAAAGTGAGGGGAGATAGAGTGAAATTTGATCCGGAGCGCATTGTTATGAGCGGCGGAGCAACCGGAGCTCATGAGATAGTTGCATTTCCTTGGCCGATCCTGGTGAAGCGTTTCTCGTTCCCACTCCTTATTAGCCAGGGTAATTCATCATTTCTGCTGCTTTTATTATATTCATAATGTCAAAATTAGTATCTGATGTTTATTAAAATGGTAATTATTTTAGAAGTATTTTGGCCGAACATTTTGTTTTGGGTACATTTGTATCCTAAAATAAACATTGGAGGGCTAAAATGCTCTAGAAGAAAAATAATGGTTAAAATAATTATTCAATCAAATATTAAGGCATTTTTTATCCTAAAATGAAATGTTAAGGGTTAAAATGCTTAAAAAAATAGGAGTCACAATAATCATTTTAGCAAACGTTAGAGGCTAATTATGATATTATGTTTTATATTTAAATAAAACATGGAGATTCTATAAACTTATTAATGATCTTAATAATAATGAAGTATTATTTTCTCTAAAATTTTGTTTTGGGTACATAGGCCCCTCAATGGATGGAAATCATTAATTAATAAGATGTTAACGTTCTAAAATAGAGATATTTTTACTCTAAAATGAACATTAGAGGGGTAAAATGCTCTAAAGAAAATAATAGTTAAAATGATTATTCAATCAAACATTACGACATTTTTATCTTAAAATAAAACGTAAAGGGCTAAAATGCTTAAAAAAATAGGAATCAAAATAATCATTGTGACAACGTTAGAGGATATATGATGAGGCTCCATTGTGAATTGCTTAATGACAAACTTGACCTTTGTCCCAATACACACCCACACATGGAAAGTACGGAGAAAGAGGGGGGAATTGCTATTTAAACAATTAGATTCTTGACTTAAACATTACTTGAATATTAAATAAAATATTTTCATTTCACTAACGATTAAATTTAGTCATCTTCCCCTTTTTCTTAATGAAAAAGAAGAAAAATGGTTGATGGGAATCATTAAAGCAACAGTGCTTCTTTGGGTCGATGTCAAAATACATTGAAGCTCTAGGCTGCTCACTATATTATTTGATAGAAAAACAAAACCCAACAAGCATCAATCCCAGTGGGACAGTAATCATCATAGAAAAATTGAGCAGTCACTTTCATTTAATCACTCTCTCAACAGCTGGATGGGGTTATGGCTTAAATGAGTTGACTCGTAGCTCTTGGAATAGTCATCAAATTAGCACAAAAAGTTATTGAATTTGGCATTCATTTGCAGATTTGATCGTGACTTGAGGTGGAGAACCGGGGTTGAACTCGTACCAGTGAACTGTGAGAGCTGCAATAATTTCAACATCACCGGAGATGCTTTAGAAGCTGCATATGTAAAAGCACAAGAAGCTAACCTGCGAGTCAAGGGATTACTCCTAACCAATCCATCGAATCCACTGGGCACAATCTTAGATCGAGACACATTGAAGAACGTTGTAAAGTTCATAAACCAGAAGAACATACACCTGATCGGGGACGAGATATATGCCGCCACAGTCTTCATGGAGCCGGAGTTCGTTAGTATTTCCGAGATCATAGAGGAAGACGACGTCGAATGCAACCCTGATCTAATCCACATTGTTTACAGTCTGTCGAAGGACATGGGGTTCCCCGGTTTCAGGGCATCGTGTACTCATACAACGACGCCGTCGTTAGCTGTGCCCGAAAGATGTCGAGCTTCGGGCTGGTGTCGTCGCAGACTCAGTACCTGATCGCATCGTTGCTGTCGGACGACGATTTTGTCGACAACTTCATAAGCGAAAGCAGAGAGCTGTTGTTTAAGAGGCACAAGTACTTCACCTGGAGTCTTTCCCAAGTCGGTATCGGTTCGCTGAAGAGCATGCGGGGCTGTTTATATGGATGGATCTGCGCAAACTACTCAAAGACAAGACATTCGAAGCGGAAATGGAGCTGTGGCGGGTTCATCAATGAAGTTAAGCTTAACGTTTCACCGGGCTCTTCGTTCCACTGCGACGAACCGGGTTGGTTCAGGGTTTGCTTTGCTAACATGGACGACAGCACCATGCAAGTTGCTTTGTCGAGGATTCGAAGCTTTGTGGTTAAGAACAACGAGGCCATGGTTCCACCACGTAAATTATGCAGGCGAAGCAGCCTTAAACTCAGCCTATCTCGAAGAATGGATGATTTGATGTCCCGAGCATCTTGTCCCCCCACTCTCCGTTACCTCAATCGCCACTGGTTCGAGCCAGGACTTGAAAGGAAAAAAAACCCAAGAAAGTCGTAATTTTACCATAGAAATACTAGCCTTATCATAAGGAACTCCATGGATTCACGTGTCATTTTTATGTATCTTCAATAACTGTATTTTTCGTCTTTTCTTCACATGCAATAGCGTATGTGTGAGGGAAGATCAATGCTCTCCTACAGATGTAGTGTTTATTTGGACACTGTAACAAAATAAGTCGTTAATGGTGAAACCATTCCATGTGCAAATTGAAGGATTTATTACTTTGAATATCTCTTTTTTCTACCAAGTTGGTTGCAGATTTCACCCCTGAAATAACAAAAACATTGGTAAATTTGTCAAACAATAATCACTCCATCTCACCAACTACTGCTCAGGTTTCTAAAATTGGCACACTCTCATCGAGATTATTTTTAGGGTAAATGACGCATTTAGTACATAGTCTATCAGTTTTGGCCCCTTTTAGTATCTAAACTTTCAATTTTCTCAAAACAACACCCAACGTTTAGTTTTTGTTTCATTTTAGTACCCGCCGTTAAAAACTTAACGCGCTTAGTACATAAAATATTAGTTTTGGTATGTTTAGTACCTAAACTTTCATTTTTTTCAAAACTTAACGTTAAATTTTGAAGGGTACTAAAATAAAACAAAAACCAAATTTTAAGTACTTAAAAATTGAAAGTTTAGGTACTAAAATAGACGAAATTGATAGTTTAGTTATAAATGTGTAATTTATCTTTTTTATATATATACTTATCTCCTCGTAGTTTCAAATTATTATAGAAGATAATAGGATGGAAATATTATACTTATAAAATAAGTACGTTAGTACTACTTTTTAATAAAAAGTTAACGCGTTTAGTACTTAAAATATCAGTTTTGGTTTGTTTTAGTTCCTAAATTTTCATTTTTTTTCAAAATTTAATATTAAATTTTGAACGGGTACTAAAATGAAATAAAAATTAAACTTTAAGTATGGTTGTAAAAAAATAAAGTTTAGGTATTAAAATAAACCTTGCTAGTTTAGATACTAAACGCGTAATTTATCCTTTTTTATATGAAATAATTATCTCCTCGTAGTTTCAAATTATTAATAGATGATAATAGGATGGAAATATTCTACTTATAAAAATAAATACGTTAGTACTATTTATTAATAAAGAAATATTATATTGTGGAAAACATCATTATTTTAAAATGGATTTTTTTCCTAATCATTGTAATGGTGAGATAGACTGTCTCCCAAAATTAACACCAATTTTAATATTCACAAGCTTCAATTTATTTATTTATTCTAATTTATGCAGTTATTTGAAGCCATCCAAGATTAAGGATGGCAAATTCACGAGGATTCCAATCCGATCCGACTCGATAGGAGCATAATTCTTTTAAAAAAATTTAGTTTTGAATCGGTCGGGACAGATTTACTGTGTAAAATTTTTGGGATCGAATCGGAGTTGAGTTATAGGTCAAAAAATTTGACCCGACCCGATTAGGATATTTTTTAATTTTATTATATATATTTTTAACTTATTAATGAAAATGCCATTATATATATAGCAAACCCTAAATAATATATATATATATATTGTTTAGAGTTTGTTTTTTTTTTTTTATAGGTTTTTGCTTTTTTGTTGAATGCAATTTTTCAGTTCATTGTTTATGGTAATATATTTTGGGTCGGAGTCAGGTCGGGGTCGAATATATCATTGATTTTTCAGGTCGGAGTCAGGTTATGAGTTCATATGTCAGGTCAAAGTCAGAGCAGATAAAAATCCGACCCGACCCTATCCAAGATCCCATAACGAACAAAGTTGGTGAAAGGTTAAGCCCACGGAGGAAAGGAATTGTAGTTTCAGAGACTTGGCATCAGCTATCAAGGAAATTTCCATTAAGTCTACAAACTAGAATTTCTATTTCTAAAACTAAAAAAAAACCTACATTCTGCGTCACAGACAATGATCCTTTAATTCAAACAAAACCACCATTATGTTGCATTAATTACTGGGATTGGTTGATTTATGCTGCAAACCAGATAAAATTTTGTTAATATATTTGATCCTTCAGAAATTCTATTACATACAGTGCACTAGAGACCGACATTACAATACCAATCCTTGTATTTATCAAACCATGGATATGAAAGAGCATGAAAATTTAGCAGATCACACATGCACTGGGATACTCTTCTGCCGCCACAACACGGTAGCATGGAGTGTAGTAAGGATGGTAGCCGTGGGCCATGACAGAGTCGGCGATGCACTCGGTTTTGTTGTCGACCTTCTCCTCTTCTTTGGCCGGTCCGACTGATAAAACCTCAGTGTAACATTGTTTCCTTAGCTTTTTCGCCACCACCACCGGGTCTAACTCGCCTATCACCGTTAACTTCTGATCCTTCATGTCCATCGCTATCGAATCAACGCCCCGTAGACCCGATACCGCCTTCATCGCTTTCTGCTTCTGCTTGTCATCGTGTAGATCCAACTTCAACACAACTTTCTGCATCAAAAACCGAAGAAAAAACATGATTTTTCGCTATGGTTTTTCAATGTTAAGATCAGAAAAGAAGGCAATAGACAAAACATGATTCCTGTTTACTTACAAGACAATGGAACATAAAGAAAGATCGTTTCTTTACTAAGAAAATGGGATTATCAGAGACTAAATGAAGGAAAGTTCACCTTCATTAATGCTGCTGGAACTTGAGCTCTGACCCTGACAAAGGCTTGAACAAAACAATGATATTTTACACAACAGCGCAGGCAAATTGTAAGAGAAAGGAAGACTCAATTTATAAACAAATACAAGCATAGCTAAGCAATGGGTGTGAGAAAAATGGAAAACTATATTACTAGTGTCGGGAGAAAAATTGGTGCCCAACTTGTAAAACTCTGACCATTTCCTTCTCCATGTAGGCACATAAGATGGGCAAAACTTACATATTTAATATATATTCATCGCAGAACCAACTTATCTTAGTGGTTAAAAGAATCGTTGTTATTCCTAGAGGTCATGGTCATGAACTGGTTCAAACATCAACAACTACATTAAGGTGATTGAACGCTCATTGTCGATTGAGAATATTTAGAACATATATTAATTTATAATCACCTTGGCTTACTCAAATATATATTCATCGCCTCATTTTGTTCTAAATACTTAAATACGAAACTAAAAGAAAATGTTGGTAGCATATTATAATATTGGGTTGTTATTGAATACATTATCGAGGAAATATTTTAATATTAGGACTAATGTTTAGATATTATTATACGTCCTAATCTTTAAGTTTTAAACTCTAAATCATAAATACTCAATGTCACGTATCATTTATTTAGTCTTGTTTGTCGAGTTTTTTAATTTCACTAGTTATATATGAAATAATTTCCTTTATATATATATAATAAAATTAGTTTTTATGCATCGATTTATTTATCTTTCTTTTACTTGAATTGGAAGAAAAAAACATGTTTAACCATTTCTTTTACTTATTATAATCACAAATAATATTTTTGCATTTATCATTGAGAAAAGAACCTGTCTCTCTTATTATAATTGCATGATATGAATGTATAAAGTATTCATATTTTAGTATAAGAATTGTAGTAAATGTTGGAACCCATTTGTTTTGACACACATAAGTTTGTAAATTGTAACATAAATATAATATTTCATTTTAATTAATAATTTAAATTACCTTAAAAAGTTTCAAAACCACTTGACAAGTAAATTTAAAAAAAAAAGTATAAATGCAAAATGTGAAATTATTATTAAAAAAACCAATTTTATTTTATTATATAAAATATGCTACCAATTTTTTTGGTTAGTTTCATATATGCAAGTATCAAATATATTTCTCAAAAAATCATATAACCTGCAAAAAAATATTATCATATACATACATCATAGTATCATACATCAATATATATCACAACCTACTTTAGAAAGATTCGTACAACATAATAACACAGAGTATACAAGAATATGGGACAAAATAAGGAATTTTTTTACTTCCCAAGGACCGCATTCAAAGAAACTGAAAAACTGGAGAAGCTCATATGCCGTGTGGAAAAGGGACACCAACCCAACAATTAACCATTCATAGTTAAAGTTGGAACCTTCGAGCAAATATATCTCTAATGCTAATCTTCAATTTATATGTACTTATTTATATGCTATCGAAGCTTAATATTATTATTAAAATTAACCATTCATTTAAATACGGATATCGGATTTTGATTTAGTTGATATCATGATTATTATAACAACTTATGAATAGTAAGTTCAAACATGTAAAAAAAAATTGGTTGAAGGTATGATAATATTAGATGAATGAACATACAGAGGAAGTATTACTAGTACCTCATTAAAAGTCTTCCTAAACTTAATTGGAGGAAGAGAGTACAACTGATAATACTAAAAAACAAAAGAGCACGAATCAACAGCAACAAACGAAAAGGAAACAAACGGGACAACACCCACTACTACGTTAGAGCAGTTCTACCTGCTTGCAAGAGCGAAAGGACTTCCGAAGGATGATTACGCATATAAAGAGCTTAAAAGCTCCCATCAGACGTCAATTTAGCAGCAGCATCAGCAATACGATTCTCAGACCTAAGAACATTTTGCAAAACGTAAGGACCAATTATGTTGTCTTAGCGCATAAATGTGCGGACAGATTTGCCCCCATAACTGTTCCAATCACCATGCTTGATACTCAACACAATCTGGTTGTCAGTTTCCACGATGACCTGCTTAATACCTTCTTTCCAAGCATATACGAGCCCTAGTACAACCCCTACAGCTCCGCATCAAGCGCAGAGCACGCTCAAGCCATGGGACGCATGGAATTGCAGGGAAAGCTAGCATCTCAAACTGAGGCTAACCCACGAAAAAACATTAGTGCCATTACCCTTCGAAGTGGCATTGTGATCGCACCAATCCCTAAAAAAGAACCGAGATCCCAGAGAAATCAAGAAGAAATCGACGCAATCACCCAGAAAGAAAACAAAAGAGAAAAGAAAAACCCCAAGAAGAAAAGGAGGAAGTTAACGCCCAGAAAAAGAAAATTTCAAAGCCAACACCTCCTACAATCTCTCCTTATATCACGCCACCTCTCTTTCCCTTCAGGTTAGTAAAACACGACAAACAAACTAAGGAAAATGAAATTCTTGATGTTTTTTTGAAAAATAGAGATTAACATATCACTTCTTGAAGTAATTCGAAAAGTGTCGAGATATGCAAGATTTTTTAAAGATCTTTGCACGAATAAAAGGAGACTTACCGGCAATGAAAAAGTAAATTTAGGTGAAAACGTCTCAGTTATTTTTTCAACGTAGTCTTCCACCAAAATTAAAGGAACAAGGTATGTTTGTTATCCCTTGTAAAATCAGCAAGGTATGAATTAAACGTGCTATGTGTTATCTTGGTGCTTCCATAAACGTTATGTCTGTTTCTATTTACAACTCATTTTCTGCTGAGCCTTTAAAGGAAACTAGAGTAACAATTTAGCTCGCCGATGGATCCATCATCTATCCCAAAGGACTTCTTGAAAACATACAGGTTAAGGTAAATGAGTTAATTTTTCCAACATATTTCTATGTCATCGACATGGAAAATGATCGAACCAACACCTCCTCTAAAATCATTATTGACAGCCCATTCTTAAGCACGGCTAACACTAAAATTGACGTTAGAAGCAGAACTCTCACCACGAAGTTTGACAGTGAAGTGGTGAAATTTGTCGTTTATTAGGCGATGAAATATCCTGACTTTGTGGCTAACGTTAGCTTTGTCAATATAATTAAACCTTCTATGAATGAACATGTTGATCATAATTTTTTTGATGGGTTGTACATGAATTTGAAGGTTGAAATTGATATTGCTTCTAACGTGGACTTACAATCATTCCATTTATTTTGCAGGCATTAAAGTTGGAATTAAAATAGCTTAAGAAACATTTAACAATATATTTTTGGGTGAAGTAGATAATTTTTCTATTTCGAACAAATTTCCAAAGCTAAAAAAGATCCAAAGAAAAACAAATGGGAATGTTTACATGGATAATAAGACAAAATTCTATGATCGTAGAATTTCTTATGAGCAATTTCTCAGTTGGAAAAAACGTATCAAGTGGAGAAAGTATCTCTCGCAGAACAATTATTATGAACCAGATAATCGAGCTAACAATGTTAAACAAAAGCGCTATAATGGGAGGCAACCCATCTTTACTATTTACTTTATTGTTTATTGTTTATTTTTCTTTATATATTTAGGTACCTAAGGAATCTGCAAATTCTACTGTCATTAAACATAGGGAGTATATCTATTCCTTCTCCTATGTTTTATTTTACATATTGGAACAATATACTTTAAGTGGGGAGTACTAAACTTAGAGAACACTTGCATTGAATTATCGCTCGCTTGTTTATATGCTTGAAATTGAGTTGTCTTGATTGATTTGTTGAAATCTCTTGTTATTAATTTTGAATATGGCTTTGTATCATTGATTACCTTATAAGTTTATAATAACGTTTTTATCGGATTTAGGGTGCATAATGGTAAAAATAGCATGATTTGTATTTTCCTTAAAAATTTTCGGTTGATGTTCCATGAATCCATTAATTGATATGTTTCTTGACTCGATACACATTATGTAACACCCCCAACCCGTATCCGACCCGGATACGAGTCCGAAGTGTCACATTGACTTTTCAAACCTTGACTCTTAAGAAAAATCCCGGGAAATTTAAAACTTTATTTAAATCAAAATAAAGACTTTATCAGAGTGCTTGTACTTAATAACTTATTACATGCCAACACTTTATACATAACCAAATACATACTTTGTCAACTATTTCTGATCTGATCTTTTGGTAAGGAAAACTGACCTGTCTTGCTCCGCATCACTCCTTACTCTTCTCGAAACCTACGTGTGAAACAATCACACGCTAAGTCGAAGACTTAGTGAGGCATAACAACTTATAATGCACTTTAAAACATATATTGATACATGCATGTTCTGTTCTATCATGTTATAGCAATTCCATGCATTTTTCATATCGTATAAAATCATATCAGATTAATTGCAGTAAATACATACATACACATAATTCATCATTAATAGTTTATCATATAATCACATACTTTTTCAATCAAACACTATACACACAACATCATATCATTTCTATAGCATTTATCATACCACTAACTTATATTTGTTCATATCTCTAGATTAGCCCATGTACATATGTGAGAACTATCGATATGTGAGTCTATAGAGGTTGTGCACTATGCTGTCACCACAGCTCGTATAAATGCACCGAAGTGCCCCGTAGAATTGCACCGTAGTGCCATATAATGATGTCCATAAGGACCACGTAGAATTATTTAAGAATCATATACATATGCTAGGGATCAAGTATGTGTCTTTCCAGACTTCACACATGTTCCAAAGAATATACATATGTCCCGAAGAACCGCATAGAATTGCACCGTAGTGCCATATAATAATGTCCATAAGGACCACATAGAATTCTTTAAGAATCATATACATATGCTAGGGATCAAGTATGTGTCTTTCTAGACTTCACACATGTTCCAAAGAATATACATATGTCTCGAAGAACCGCGTAGACCCTCGACTCTTGGCATGGCTCTCATGACACATAACATGGGCGTTATCATTTATTTCATTTCAAATATTCACATAACTTGTAATTCACTTTCACATATCACTTATCACATAGCTT